ATATCATGCAATTGTCAATGCATACATCAATCATTTCTGATGGTAAGCCAAGACCCGCAACCAACCTCTGTATTTCATAATAATTCTCAGCAGAAAGATTATCAGTCGGTAGGTACTCTTTGAAAAGTTGAGCCCACGAATCCATGCAAACCTCAGAGAGATTATTATCAGTTTTAATTGTCATCATCCTATATGCCAATGACAGTTACGACTTCCCTTCTCTACATTCATCGTAGATAGGCTCATTATCAGCATCTAACATATCATAAAACTTTTTTGCATCTACGTTGGGTTCTTCCCTAATATTATCAACAAATGAGGTTGCTGCAACTTCATGCATTGCATCTACAACCATATCATGAAACCTATTCCCTTGTTGATACCCTTCATCTACATTTCCAAACATATTTTACCCATAATGTTCATAATCAACATTATAATTGGGCTGCTCTAAACTCTGACCCATACTACTACTTCCAACCGTAGCAACACTACTATCTTCCCCATACAAAAACCATACATAATAGTTCGGCATAAATCCTCTATTATATACATGATTCTTCACGGTATCAATTTCTAAATATGGAACATTCTTGCACTTCCTACATGGACAGAATATTTTACCGTTTTCCCTTGCAAATGATTGGTTTGTCGCCTGATATAAGAATGCTCGAAACCCATCCCGAAACTCTTTCGTCACCTTGCCGGTCTCCGGATCTCGATGATTGTACATCCACGATCGTAACGCATATATGCTATGCTCTGAAGACATTCTTTCAATATTTCTTTCTCACTTCTCTTTTCTCTCTTTTTAAAAATCTATCTTTTTCTTATTTTTTGAAAACTATAAGATTTTTTTCTTTATTTTTCTTTCTCTTTTTCTTTTTTTCTTTCTTTCTTTCTTTCTTTCTTTCTTTCTTTCTTTCTTTCTTTCATTCTCTCTTTCTTTCTTTCTTTCTTTCTTTCTTTCTTTTTTTCTTTCTTTCTGTTGTGATTGTTTCACTAACTCCCGAAGGCTATTTATAGACATTCAGAAATTTTGCGATGGCCTAACAACGGACGAATGCGACAGATTTGTGACATCATGTGACACAGAATTGACTGATTTGCGACTCTGTACCTAACTACTTATGTCGGTAGGAAGGGAGTAAAACGTGGTTCACCTACTTTGAGTATCCACGTAAATTCGTCGCAAGTTAGTCGCAAAGTTGCGACAGAATTTCTTTCCCGTCGCAAATTGCGACGTACTTTGCGACGGCCTTGTTTGTTCGTCGCAATTACCCCTATCAATTGCAAGTTCGTCGCAAAGCTGCGGTCGATTTGCGACGGGCTATTGATGTTGCAATTTGTGACGGATTAGCGAGACATTATTTTTCTCTGGCAAATCCGTCGCAAACGCGTCGCAAATTGCGACCACCATTCGCCGTCGCAAATTTCCGATGCAAAAGGGCTGTTTTCTTGTAGTGCTTGAACTGTGGTCTTGTACTTTTATATTTATAATTCAATTCAAAATTATGGTTGTGTAACTTGTGTTGCTAATTATTCTCAGAAATGCAACGAATCTTGTAAAAGCTATGTATGTTTTTTTCTAAGAAAGAACAATGGTACTGATATGTAGTTCATCGGCATAACAATTTCTTCAAAATAAAAAAACAATTTGTTTAATCATTGATAATGATATCTTTGGATTGTCTCTAACCATATGTATATATATGATATATCATATATGTGCTCATAAGTTATAATTTCTAGTTCGGCTCAGGTATATATTAAATTCACCAAAGTTGTTAATTAGTTTATGTGTTTAGGTGTAAAAGAGTTGCGAACTTACGCAATCGTTTGCTCAAAAAAAAAAAACTTACGAAACCGTTTTGTTATTAATTACGTCTAGCTAAAAGCATGCAATAATCCAAAATATATCAAATTAATAATATATTGCTAAACCACGGTTTGCTTCTATTTCTTATTCTTTATTGGATTCTTTTCTCTCTTCTACTCTTTAGTTGATTTAGTTGTAATTGGGCTGACTCATGATGAATTGGGCTGTCTCATGAATTGGGCTTTATGCATATGTAACAATATACATCATCCGCTTATGTGAACTTTACAAAACTGTTAGAGAGTAGTACATAGAAAAAGATGATAATTATAGAGACATTTACGGAAAGAGGCACTCTTAAATGCAAAATAAGGCATTGTATGGAGGTGAGGCACTTCGTTGTACTATTACGGTGTGGAGGAACGTTTTTGCCCTTACTGAAAAAGGTGGCTGTTTACCGTGAGCTATGTTTTACCCGATGGCGGAGAAGCGAGATATTGTTTGTCTTAATTCATGCGCCTATAGTTACCCCAAGGTTGATTCGGTAGATTCAATTTGGACGATGTTTATTTTGTGTAGCAGGCGTAGATTTTGTGTACGGAGAATCGGATGCGTATATTTTTGGTGAATCGATTAGCGGAAGGAAAGTTTGTGTACGGCACTTCATTGTGCAAGGTTTTTTGGGTTTGTAGTTTCTGGATATGTCGATGAGTTAGGTTTGTGTCTGCGGGCGATGTGTGGTTTGTGGATGTTACTAGTGTGGAGTAATGGAAAAGGTTATTTTGTGGATGGCTGTTGTGGATGTTAATAGTGTGGAATAATGGAAAATGTGATTTTCTGGATGGCTGTTGTGGATGAGGTTAATGAAACGCTGTTTGGGAGAAGTTATAGTTAAGTATGACTATTAGTGGAGTACGGTAATTTTGGTTAGCATGTGGGTGATGAAATAGTAGCTTGTGAAATGGGGAATTATGTACAGGATTGATGGACACATACTTAATAAGATGTTAAGAAACAAAACAGTGAAGGATAAGTAGCATATCAAAGTCACACTAAAGTGTTCTAATAGAAAGAGATACAACATTTTTGATGTGGTTCCACACAACCCACCGAGTAGAGGATATTACAAAAGAAAATATTGTGGTCGTGATGGATAACAAAAAGAAAATGTTCCCTTCAAGTATGGTTGGGGAAATAGAGAGGGAGTACAAGGTCCGTGTATAGGTCGAGGGCGTATTGTTTGCGGAAGTTATCAACGTTGCCATCTGTCAAACGAAACATGTGTGGAGATGGATCGCTGTATAGATGCATCTCCCTGAACTATCGGTTGGAGTAAACATTAAAGCGGGCCTTAGGAAACTTATCGGTTGCAAACAAGCGAGTCTGTAGGCGTGTGTCCCACCCATGATTGTAGCCAGACCCTGCACATTATAGTTAACGAGAAAGCAATTAGTGTGACAGAATTGGTGAGTGTGGTAGACAAGTCAGATGAATCAAATCTAGATGGATGCTTTATATGGACAAGGTACACAAATACTAAATGTGGATATGGGTGCTAAGCGGCCAGTAGATAAAAATGCAACATGGATGCAATATGTGGATAGTGTGTGTGAATGCCAGTGGTGGATAATGTATGTGGATGCTAGTGGTGGGCGGTGTATGTGGATGGAATATATGGATATTCGATGTGAGATATAAATAATCTAGATGGATGTTTTTTATGGATGAGGTAGTCAGAAGAGTTGTGCGGCTATGGTTGCACATCGTCCACTAAATTAAACTGCACATGGATGCAATTTGTGGATGCCAATGGTGGATGCAATATGTGGATGCAATATATGAAAGAACTTTGTGGATGTAGCCCATGAATGTATTAATTAGGAGATAATGGATTTGAAATGAAGAGAAAATCAAGTGAACGACGACGGAAGAAGAAGAACAACAATTAATAGAGGTACTTTGGATTTGTAACTGTAATTGGGACTGGGTAATATGAGAACAAACTGGTGAAAGTAATGGGTGAGATTAAGAATCAAGTTTACAAAATCTTGGATGCAATATAGAGGATGTGTGATAAGATTGAATTAGAACAGATGACACTGGATAAATCTGGGTAAAAAACAGCATTAATAATAAATTGGGCTTACCTGCCATTCCTAGATCCAGTCGGTATGAGGGTTTTGGCAATTAGAGTTCCGAGCGCCGATATCAGACAATAATTAAAAGGATGTATGGGAAGATGTAAGGTTTGGTGACATCGTAAACCAGAAGTTGCGACTCAAAAGAAATAGATTCTATGTCGGCAGAGATGGAATTCATAGACTTCGTTTTCGCCACTGAAATTTCTGATTTGTTACAGTAAGTAAAAAAATAATAAATAAGATATACGAACCGTCGAAGAAAAACAGAAAACATATTAAGAGGAGCATGAAAGTCATTTCAACAAAACAAACTGTGTTAGTTTTTTTAAGTGTCTTATTTTGTAATTAGAATCTGAAAAAGTGCTTCTGTCTGTAATTTTCTCATAATTATATCGCGGGAAAATTAAAGGGATGTGGGTTCGGGTTCCTAGGTAAAAAAATTAAAAAATTGAGGGCGAAATTGGAAATCACAGAAAAACAATCAAAGGCGCGAAAAAGAGCCGTTGTGAACTAAAACTCTCAAATTATGGCGCCAAAAAAAGACGGTGGTTCAGAGACTGCCCGTAAATTTTCTCGGTCAGCTAAATTTTATTCTTTTTATATTTCCAATTTTACCCCTTTCTCTTATCTTCTTCAAAAATTCCCCTTCTCTTTTTCTCCTAAGAGTCGGCATTTCCAAAACGCGCAAAGAAAGAATATTTATTTGACTATTTAAAGCTTTCTTTATCACAATTTCCCTCATTTTTTTCTTCATCTTCCGAAAAAAAAAACAATCTTTCTCCCTTTCACACACACACACACTATAACAGAAGAAAAATTGACCAACCACAAGTTTTATCTTTTCCCCACTTTCATTTTATTCTCTCTAATCATTTTTATTCATGTTCCTTATTCTGATTCCTCTTCTTATCATTTGATTCAAAAGAAATATACATATTTTCTCCACTGTTCGTGTTTCCTAAACAAGTGGAACAAGCCTCTGTTTTTATCTTCTTCTTACTTTTTGGGTTTACTCTGTTTTTGGAGTTAATTAGAGAAAGATGGGGTTTTCGAAAAAATCTCAATTAGACGGAGGTTTAGACTCCGATGGGAAGAAATGGGTTATCGCCGGAATTTCGATTCGGGCTTCGTTGAAACCGGTGAAGACGAAACTCAGAGCGCCGGAGATTGGAACCGAAGTTGAAGAAAATTGTTACAATGAAGAACGTTCGACGACTCCGACGGCGAGTGAAGCGAAGATACCGGAGAAACTGAAATGTCCACCGGCGCCGAGGAAACGACGGCCGGCGTTAAAATGTCGGAGTAACGCCGTTAAAGAGTTCTTTACGCCTCCTTCTGATTTAGAGACGGTGTTTATACGGCGCCGTTAATTAACGAAAGGAAAAAAATTAGTGAAGTTTGAGTTTTTTTTTTTTTAGTCATACAAGCCATGAAACTTTGGTTACATTATTTAGCTAGTAGATTATTTTTATGGTTTTCTTAGAGTGTTTGGATTTCAAAAATCAGTTTGTACTCTTTGTTTTTTAGTTATTTTCTTGAAGAGTTTATTGTAAAAGGAAGTTTATTGTACAAAGATGTGAATCTAATGATGATGATGGTTAGCTTCTAAATTAGCTTTAATTCCATATTTGCTCATCACATTTGGTTGTCTATATATATCACTCTAATACTAAATTATCATCATAGCTAAATTATTTTTTTGAAGATTATGCAGTTTCTATTTGTCATTTTTTCTTTAAAAAAAAGGAAAGTTTATATTACAAAGATGTGAATATAATGATGATAATGGTTAGATTTAATTCCATATTTTAGTTCATCACGTTTAGTTCTGTCTAGGTCTCGGTTTCATGAATATTTTGGTTATACATACATACATAAATATGAGTGCACAACTGTAAAATACTAATTTAAATGTAGGCAGTCTCAGAACCTTTAGATTCGGCCTACGAAGACCAGAGAGGATATGACGTGAGCAAATCTTACCAATAAGCTTAACTACCAAAATATACAAAATATAATTCTAAAATTACTAATAATTTACACAAGACAAGAAGTCTACCCGTCAAGTCTTGAATCCTCCTCTATACTCGTTTATTGATTCAACTTATGTTGTTTTGACAGTGATCATATTTTTGATATTTATCATAGGTTGCAATTATTTTTGCCTACCAAATAATAATAGACTGGTTATGTCAGTACATAATTTCAAGTGATCGATCCACGATGTACTTTAAGTGTTCTATTCAGTTTCGGTTCTGATTTTTTGAATTTTTTTTGTTTGGTAGTTTTCTTTGGTGTACATATTGATGTCCGCATGTTTGAAAAATTCAAACGTTTCTTTTCAAGCACAAAAAGTTAAACGAAAGTATTTCTAGATATCATATGATTGAAACTAGCTAAAAAGAGAAGAAATGAAACAGTTTTATAATGCACACATGTAATGTTTTATTTTATGACTTAAAAGGATTCTGAAGAAATCTAACGCTTGACTCTTTTAAGGAGGCCTCTTCTAAAGCCATCCAACAAATGTGAATCTTTTTCTTTCACGCTAAAAAGCTTTTTACGTGCACAATTGCACACTTAACCAGTCACTAGTCTCCTCTTTATTTTATTGACTACTACTTTTTACTGTAATAAATTAATTAAATAAAAGCCTGAAACATTATGATTACTAATTTACTCATGCTACGCACCAATAATATTTGAATACACACAAACTATTGCATCTTAATTCTCAAATATAGGTTTTGCATGTAGATCACTAATTCTCTCACTCTCTTTGTGTTCTTGTGGATTGAGTCATGAAAAGACAAAATAGGGTTCAGAGAATAGCGGTGCGATAGGAGAATCCAATGTGGGACTTAAGGCCTTGTTTGGTTCCTTTACATGACAGCGACCAATCTCGTGTTTTTTTTCTTTCTTTTTCTCCCTATTGTATATATATATATATATAGGTTTGGAAAATAATACTTGAATATGTTGATGAGTCTGTGACGATTGTATTTGTCGATTTTGGGTCATTCTTGTGAACGGGTTTATATTTCGCCGCCATGAATTGAATTTATCTGTCAACTGAATGTGCCACCTAGGTTAATTATTTATATTTTTGCTTTCAGCTCAAAATATCACAACAAAAAAGTAATGGAGAAACAAGGATCCAAGTTTGAGTATTTTTTCAATTGCAATTTATTATTCAACAAAAAATTGCAATAGTAAAAATGAGAAAAGTTATCGCTGGAACAATAAAAATTCAGCGTGTTTAAGATCACATTGACTCTAACTAGTGACCATTAAGAAAATAATAGGAATGAAAAGGAAAAAAATGAAAAAAATAAAACAATAAGAATGAATGGGAATGGAAAAAAAAAATAACTCCCCAAATTTGATAAGAAATAATTTTGTTCTATATACTATGATTTTGATTAATTATTTAATCTTCATGTCATTTTTTAAAAACATAAAGAAACACTTTCAAAACTAATGACTCACAATCAAGTTATTAAGCAATATATATATATATATATATCAAAACATATAGAGATGTATAAAACATAAATGCATTAGATAAATGAAACGATTTGTTAATTGTGGAATATATATAGTTTAATCAAATGTGTTTGTTAAAAAAAAATAGTTTAATCAAATGCAAAAAGGATGATAATAAAGAACTGTTAAAACTATAATGAATAGGATTAATTAAGATAAGTTTTGCAGAAGCTCAGACCAAAACTGTACGCAAAGGAAAAAATCTTGGCCTTGTCTAGAACAAACAAAAGAAAAATATACCTTACATTTGTCAGTGTACTGTCACTAATATTTTTATAAGTATATTATCAATATTGGATAAAACTTGAAACTTTTGTTCGAAATAAATATTGGATAAAGCTTAAAGGCTTCCTCGCACATTTGTTTCATAATTTAACGGGTAGCTTTTAAAGTTATAATTATGAAGCTGTCATTTGTGTTTCTTTGCTTTTCTCTATTGTTTTTAGTTTTACTGAAGTGGAGTTTTTTCACCACAACAAAATATAGTAGCATTTGTGTTTTCTTTTAGACGCAGAGGCCTCGTTGGATATCAATTTCAACGTCCACAAGATTTAGGGTTTGAATCCGATCCTAGTTTCAAAAGATACGATTTGGATCGTTTGATTAGCCGTGACGGTTGTGCTTTCATGTTTTCATTTCTTCTTTTCTTGAGATTATAAGAATTTGATCATTTGAAGAGATATGTAAATTTCACGATGCATCAATCAACTTTCTTAAACGTACGTAATGCCCTACTCGAATGACTATCTTCCAACTAGTTAAATCAAGCATATTGACAAATTTATTTTTTTGCATTGTGACTAATTCTGGTAGTTTGCCTGTTTACAATTCTGGCTTATCAGTGTATAAAGAAGTTTAAAGCTGTTCTTAATAAACGTAACAAACAATATTTAAAAAGTGTGTCGGATGGTGATTTAGGGTTTATCTCTCTTGGCGACAGAGATGGCGATTTAGGGTTTCTTCCTTTTGTGTTGCCGCCGTCGGTGAGGCCTCATGCCCATCGGCGAGAATTTCTCTTTTCTCTCTCCTCTTCCTTTCTTCCTTCCTCTCATGGCTCTACTGGTGTTAACCCGTGGTTTGGTTCCGCTGCTCCTCTTTTCTCCTCCGGATCCAGATCCAGATCCGCTGCGCTCCTCCACCCATAGATGTGCTTGCGGCGGTTGTCGAAATTGATCTATCTTCGATAGAGTTATCGAAAGGCTTTGTGGCGTTTCTGAGGACTGAGTTCCCTCCCTCACGTCGTCGCAGTTGTCAGATCCTCCGTGGAGAAAGATATCTCCAGGGCTCTTGGCCTTTGTGTGTGATGGTCTCCTTATGCCATCTCCACCAGACCCTCCAGACCCGCTAGATCTACCTGATTTGGGATCGGGGTAGCTTTGACGTTTTCTTATGGATCTGCCGCCATGCCTCTTGAGTTCTATGAAGGTATTATCTAATTTCGAACCTATATTTTTTTTGAATTAATGGTTTTGGTTGGGAACTTGCCTTTATTTAGAATTTGTTTACCTCTGTATGAGGATTGTTTATCTCAGGATAAAGATTGTTTACCTCAATTTGAGGCTTGTCTACATCTCATATGTTTTACCTTTGTGAAGATTTCAAAAGTGATGGTAGTTTGCAACGATCCTTTATACTTTTTATCTTGGCTTTGTGTGCTAAACTGCGGTCAAGTTTACTCCTTTATGAAACCCTCCGATCTTTGTTCTTCCCCATTAGATGAGAAAAGTTGTTTTGTAGAGATTGAGTTATGCAAGAGTTTTGGGCCTTTTGAGGTTGAATTCAATGTCTTCCTCCAATTTCTTGTTGCTGGCTACTGTTGGGACCTCACCTTGCTTCGGTCTAAGCCCAGCGAAAACTACCAAGCATCCCTGATTTAGCTGTTTCCAGAAGCCCTTACTCTTTGTTTCGCGCTCAATGATGCATTCTCCGCAAATGTTACCTTGCTTCAAGTGGTTTTGGACTCCCTTGCTCCCTTGTTGGGAACGGAGCTGAAGGAGTTTGCAGGCTCTCTACATGATGTACTAAGCCTTGTTATTACTTTCTTCTCCTTTATCTTTATAACTTTTCTCATTTCTGCATTTTGTGTTGCAGCTGTTTTAGCTATGGTAGCATTTTCACATGTTTATCTCTTTGTATGGACTATGTTTGATTTAGATGAATGAAAACAAACAATTTGACCCAAAAAAAAGCTGTTCTTAATAAAAGTTTGTCACTTGAAAGAATTAGATCTGACTCTAAAATTAATGTTGAAACATAATTGATGATCTCATCGAGCATACCGGATTTAAACCAATATATTAACTATACAAAGTTTTATTTAGCATATTGACAAACATCTCTTTATATGAATCTTAAAAATGTGTTGAAACATGTTTTCTAAACATCTTAATTTGGAAACATGATTGAAACGCTGGTTTTTGTTTTGAAAATACAACAGAAACTTGAACTTAATTATAAAGCGTAACAAGTACTGTAAATAATTAAGAATGTAAGCAAGATAGAATTATATGATAACTTTGATTCATTAGAGTAAGTAAATGATCCATTTGATTCATTAAATAAGTTAAGTTTGAGATACTTGATTTTGACAATATTTCACTCGGTAACCTCTAGAGTTCGAATTTTTATTTTGTTTAATGGAACGTAACTGATGAAAATAAGAATTAAAAATACTAAATGTTTAATTTTAAACGTCATGATATTTAACGTTAGTTAAACTATTTAATATTTATGTACTTGATTTGTGTTGAAGTATCTATTTTTAATATGGTTTAGTTTGTTACACATTTTATTATTATTAATTATGTGTATATATTTCCAAATT